TGTTTGTAAAGCAGCAAAAAACAAAACCACACCATCCTGGTAATAACTTTTACTATCTGACTTCTAGATAAATCTCCCGTGACCACATGTATTCCTATCAGGCTTAGCTTGCCTTCAAATGCAAATTAATATCATATTTCTTATTTTACCAAATTATCTTTCCTGTATTAATTAACTGTATATGTGTACATTCATATATTGTTGCCACTCGCATTGCACACATAGTCATCCTCATTAAAGGATTTCAAGTTTATGAGGCTGTTTCCAAACCATCCTGGAGGAGTTGGTCATCTGTGCCCTTAAAACACATTTAATTATAAAGTCCAATGTAAATAGGACACAACATGGGCTGCATTCATCTGAACTGTCCAGGATTTTAATGCCAGCTCTGAACAGGATCATCGTTTGCTTTTATCTAGGGGCTGACCTCATTACTCTCATACACATGATGAGAGAACAGGGGAGTAATGAACAAATATCATAACCCTCTGTGGATGATCTGCTACATCAGCAACACTGACTCAGGTCAGCAGTGGAGGTGAGAGCATAAGGAGAGACGCAGAACATTATGTTTAGGAGACTGGGCTGAGACTTGTAGATGAGGTTGTATTAGGTGAGGGAATAAGGTGGAGGACTGTGGAGCGCAAGGTGCAGCAGGGCACACATCTGCAGTATAGATGGAGTTATATTACATTTATATAACATTGAATCTGATAAAGGCTGGTTTTAAAACAGGATGGTTGATCGGGGAAGATGTTCTGCTGCAGCTACAATTTTAACATAGTAATTTGTCATTACCTACAGTATTGCAGTTTGTTTTTTTTTTTGGGTGGGGGGCGCAGACATTTTCCTATGAACCAAAGCGGGGCCCAGCAGAGAAAGACTGACAACCATTGGCTTAATGTGACGCCAGTTTCCTGACTGCTGAAGCTGTTCTTTCCCAATCGTCTTGTAACGTCGACGTAACTAATTCCAAGGGTTTGCGCTATGTCTTCCAGAACTCTCTGCAGCAATCTTCCTCTTTGAGGATCCCCCAATTCTTGACTCTGTTTTTGACTTATTTTAACTTTGTTTTTCCCTTCATCCTACACATCAATGCATCTATACTGCCTAAGAATCATATCCCCTTGGCAACACTTTACCATTTTCTATCACTGTCCGATAGCTTATACCATGCAATTCTGTTCATACTTATCCTATTAGCTGATAGCACGGACAATGTTCACAGCAGTTTTCTTTATCCAGATCAGGGGTCACTCAACCTTTTTGGAACTGAGAGCTACTTCAACGGCACTAATACGAAGAGCTACTTGTTTGATATAGACTTCCCCAACAATGTAATAATAATTAGTTCTTGGTCATACAGTAGTAGACACTCTTCCTACCATCGTCATTTTACCCATTACCCCAAAAAGAACAGTAACAGTACAATTTCGGACCCTCTTGTTGACTAGTTTTATTTGGAGAACATACCCCGTGGGCACCTTAGGTAGTCCATGAGCTAGAGGAAAACCAACGCAGAGCACGTTTTAACCAATAGGATTTCATATTTTTTTAGGAGAACTCAACATCTATATTTCTTCATTCCTCTCTTTATCACCATCACTTTTCATATTTTTTTAGGAGAACTCAACAGCTATATTTTTGCATTCCTCTCTTTATCACCATCACTTCCTCGTCACCTCTGTCGCCTAGCCAACACATCTACGTCTACACTGAAGGCAAGTTTATTTTTATTGCCCATAAATGAACCATATCTGATTTGTCATGACAATAAACAGCAAACAGGTATTTTTAAAAATCTGTTCCATGGCAGTCATAAATCAGATATGTTTACCTTTTTTTTTTAAACGTGACAGTTCAGTTTGATCAGTGAATCGATTTCCATCCAAGATATGAATTGAGACATATGTCAAAGTAAGTGGAAAAAACAAATAGTCAAAGACTTGCTTTCCAAAGGTGACACCACAGCCACAGTAGTAGTGACGCTACCTTGTATTGTTAATATAAACACAATATATCAAAACCTGTTTTGTAGTTTATCCAGGGGAGATTCATCTAGGAATTTTGAAGAGGATAGTTTGAATCAAATGTGTTTCGGAAAGTTGGACTACAGGAATAAAATTGACTTGACTTGACGTACAACTATGTACGCCAATGACTTGTATTGTTTAAATCGATGAGCTTTAGCCGTCATTGTATGTGTGCCTAAAATCAATCTATACTCATATATTTTTTTTCAGCCACTCAATATGCGACTTGCATAAGTGGAAAAAGAAAGAATGATAAATGACATTTCTTGCCAGTGCTGAACTCCCAAACCACGGAACAATTGCTCCAACTCTTTCACTCAAATGCAAATGCAGGTGGCCAGAAAGAGAAACAAAAAACTGCAGGAGGTCGATAGATTTAATAACAGACCCTTAAGTGAACGTGCCCTTGAAAACTACAGACATGTGATTGGTAATAATCCTTTAAAGCAACAGTCCCCAACCTTTTTTGTACCAAAGTCTGCCGGTATCAGTCATTACTGTGGACCAGTAATACCGTGCCATTGTTGAAGGATCATTAAATTTTCGAAATAAAACATCTTTTAGACTTTATTCTGTTAGTATCAGAGTTTGAATGACCTGGTGTTTTGAAACATTACCAGATTATCAAGTAAATTAGTAAAACTTAAAAGTAGATTTTTTTCACTGTGTCCCACTGCGGCTGGTACCCCTGGGGTGGATTATTGTGTCCCACTGCGGCTGGTACCCCTGGTCCACGGGTCCCCTGGTTTAAAGGGTGGATTATAATTTAGATACTACTGCAATCAATCAAACAATCAATCTATTTCATGTTTGTGATTCTTTGCTGTGCCAAATGCTTCCTGTGAGAATCCTGTTTTTGTGAACTAACCCTCTCCTTTAAGCGCCTCCGAAAGAACTGCCTTTTTTTCACTACCACACCTGTGATCAAGGACCAATGAGTCAAAGATGTGGACACAAACTCAAAGCCAATCACCAATCAGACACCATCACAGCCTGCCGTCATTTCCGGACTATAAGTCGCATCTTTTTTTAACATGCTTCGAACCCTGCTGCTTAAACAGCGATGCAGCTAATTTATGGATTTTTACAGGCTAACAAAGTTCATACCGCTAGCGACCAATAACTTTTCAGGTGGGCTCCTGTGAGTTATACCAGTAGCGTATGTCTGTCTATGACTGGCTGTGTATATATGTGCGTGGTGCGTGCGAGAAAGAGAACGGTAGCAAAAGTTGAGATCAGTTTGAGCCCTGTCATGTTGAAGTGTGAGTTGGTTATAGAGGAGCTGTTAAAACACTGTTTATGTTCTGTTGTGCTCAGCGTGGCTGATAATAAAGACCCCAACTTCCCTGTTTCTGTTTAAGGGAGTTAGCCCCAAAGCTAATGTTAGCTTTGGCTCTGGAGCAGATCACTAGGTCTCCCCTGTGCATTCCAACTATGGTCAAGCTCCGAAGCAGGAAAGAGCTAATATGAAAAATTGTTACAACGTGGACACCTGCAGTTTTTAAATTTAGTGGGTGCGACTTATATTCAGGTGTCCTCAATAGTCTGGAAATGACAGTAACCATTGTTGTTATTATGTCATATTAATGTGATGTCATCTGCAAACCTTGTTGGTGTGTTGATTGGAAACACAATCATTTGTAAACTCCTGGTATTAACGCTAACTATCTGAGCTGTCAGGTGATAAATTAACATAACGTCACATGCAGCCATGTTCTGGGTTTACCAGCAAAGGAAAACAGCATTCGTTACCTCCTGCATTTGCAGGTTGGTGTTCGAGACCCTCGTCTTGGTGTCCAGCGGATTATGGGAGTTAGCAGAGTAGTTTTTCAAAGTGCGACTTTCCTTCAGATGGGCCTGGAGCTTCTCCCTCTGCCTCCTAAACACATAGAAAAGAGAATTATTAAACATGCTGTATATAAAAACAAATAAGCAAACAAATGTAAGTGCTTGCTAAGTCTGCAGGTTTTTATTACAGCACACAAGGATCAGTACAGACTATGTTTACTAGTTAGCCGTCAAGTGGCCTTGTACTGCAAGAAAAATGTATCGTACGTAGAAAAGCTGGTTGCTTTTTCTTTGACATCACAGAAATGTTTACGCAGGCTGTTTATCATATTATAGAAATTTTAGCAGACAAAGGCGTTACATAAAAAGTCTTAACCAAACACAAAATATTATTTTAAAAATGCCAGATGTTGGGGTGTATAAGAGAATAGATGTTACGCATCACCACGGAGTTTTGCGGACTTTTCTGTGATTTGATCACAACCATAACATAACATTGACCAATAAATAACATGTCCATGTTTTTCCTCTGCGTATATTTAACGAAGTATTTGACAAAACAACATTAACCTGCATTTTTTTCCACTTTCAAAATCCATCAAGCGGGCCATATTGAACCCCCCAGATGAACCAGTTTTGGCCCACAAGCCGTACGTATGAGACCCCCAGATGTTTAATATTGAAGGTAAAACTTAAAATTCTAGAGAGCAAATGAGTTGAGCGTATCAATGCCGATAATGAAACTTGGAGCGTCTGCGGATACCAATATCAATCCGATTCATTTATTTTCTCCACAAACATGCCACGTGCTGCTGATACTGTGTTATAGTTATAGTGTCCCTGTTTATGGAATGTCGCATAAAGATAACTTTATTTTGGCTAAAGCAATAGATCGGATTGTGTATAGCTGTTTGTCTTTATTTTCGATCCTGAAATTTTAACCAATATCGGACCGATATCGATCCTGCGTATCAGAACGAGCCTTCCCTAATTTGAACTAACTAAAACCTTTCATTCATCTTTCAGGCCATACTCATTGTTCTGTTGTTAATGTCAATGTTTAAATTGCGTGAAGGACCAGCGCTGTTTTAGTAGTTAATGGATATCAGGTTCCTCGATCCAGATAGTCATTGAAATTTGAAGAATAGTCATTAAATATATCCAAACTGTGATCAATTGAAATTGATCCCACACTTGGGAATTCATGTGTAAACACCAGTTTAAACATGTCCTAAAAGCGGCATGAATGAATTGTTCATTTTCACGTTTAATTATGCAAACTTTGACTCTCGTCCCTGATCGAAACCTCTAATTTTTTGTTTTGTTTAAACAACCCATTAAAATCCCAGTTTTTGAAACTAAGTTGTAGTTACTATTCATTGCAAATATTAGCCTTACAGTTACATACTGATACATACTGACCCTAACAATGACCCCAATTATGCCTAACTAATGACCAGAGCTATACAGATATCATATACAAGAAACTGCAATTATTACACCATGGGTAGCAATATGCTCTAATTCTTTTTTTTTTTTTCATTCAACTGAGGAAAAGACAGTCTGGAGGCTTAATTATACCGAGTCTGGTTACTGACCACTATAAATGGCCTGGATAAAATGGGCTAAGTACAACTTCATTCTGTCTAATTATCACATCCTTTCATTTCTCCCCCTGTCTGAGGCTCTGCTGAATCACTACAATGTTAATGAAGTGTTTACAAACAGTCTCACAGTGAACTTGGTCTACCTCACCCCTGTGCTGCTTTAATTATACCAAGATGAAGGCAGCAACATTTGTCGCCCGTCGCTTCTGGTAAAGTGTTTACCGAGCAACAAAAGATCCATTATCTCTGGCATATAATTTGATGCAATAAAGTCTGCGCCGCATGATGGTAGCACACACATTACTACTACTACTTTTCTTCGCCTCTACTGTTGAACAGCTGCAACATTTCAGTACATGACATACAGCAAAAAGGTCGACACACAGAGATCGATGCTTCACACAAGTAGATATAAATATACAGTTTACAGTTTTTCATTTCTTTTTCCCAGATGTGGAACGTAACAAATTACATGTACTCACGTCATTGTAATTGAGTAGTTTTTGTGAGTAATTTGTAATTTTTAAATTTCAAGTTTTAGCAATAGCTAGTTCACTTTTACTTAAGTTCATTTTGACTGAAGTACCTTACTTTGCTACATTGGAAAATAATCCATCACTGAGTAAAAGATTAATTGCAGGGAAAACAATTGCGGTCGGATGCGGCCCGTTAAACCTTACCAAATGATTTAATTTATTTATATTATCATTATACTTCTGTCTTTTCTCTGCAATCCTCATGTTTCCCCAATAGAAAATGATACAAGCATTTTAGCATTTTAGCATTTTAGCCTTTATGCATTACTTTTACATGTCATTTATCTTAGTTGACATGGACACTCTATCTATCTCCCCCCTGTTCAATTTTAGGACAACTGTGGCCCGCGAGTCAGGAAGTTTGCCCACGCCTGCTCTAGCCTGTAGTTAGATGATGGCTGGTGCGGAACAAAAAATGTAGGTCGAGGATTGCCAAGTGGAGAACACCTGTGGAGCAGACAACTCCAGAGAAGGAAATCCTCGGCCATATCTCAGCCAGCGCTTTGTTTTGAAATACAAACAAGACAATAACTATATCATGCGACGCAGATTGAATGTATGACCATTTTTGCATCGTAAGTAATTTAAAATTAACTACTGTAAGTAACATTTACTAAAAATATATATTTTTTACTTTAAAAGTAGATTTTTAGATGGGTACTTTTACTTGAGTAGAATTTAAGCAAAGTAAATATACTCAATTACATTGTTTTAGTAACTTTTTCCGCCTCTACTTTTCCCCAAAAGACTAGTTTATCATTTTTTAAATTAAATTTTAAATTAAATCATTAAAATCAAGGCATTTCAACCGAAATATGACCCAGTTCTACAGCAGTCTTGGGTCATTTTGAAACTAAAAAATGCAAACTGTTGCATCACAAGATGTCAGAGAACTCTATCCTCCGATTCTCCAATTAAATGCATTTGCATTTCTGCAGTTAAAGGATATGAGTAAACACGACTTTAAATTTTCTTAAGATGTATCCGCCAAAAATATTAAACCATCAATAAATCATGTTTTCTGGAATCTCCGGCTTAACCGGTTTCATGTGTACAATTTGCTGGCCTTACATGTTGGATTTAAGTATGACACAAGCAGTAAACTATATGCGTTAAAATGACTTTTAAATAGCCTTCATAAATACATGAAAACATTAAAATGTCTCATTTTATTAGTGATGAGCAAGATTTACTGTCACTAAGAACGTAAAGCATGTCACCTTTAGGATGGTTTATAGTCAGGCATCACATTAACTGCCTATAAGAATGTTTGTGTGAGTGTATATTTGCTTAAGGATACATCTTGTTAGGTTATGTGATAGCCTTAAAACAAGACTCACACTACATACTAACTTTAATCAAAAGCTTTGATTTAAAATTGCATTATGAATTAAACAACATCCCAGTGAAGTTTCCTTTCCTGTCTCACCACCAGAGGGCACTCATTTAATTCCCTTGATGTTATTGTAACATCATGAATCGATAACACCATACAGTTAAATATCACCGTATGATAGTCTGACTCTCGTTTTGAGGAGACTCATTTCTGGAAAGGCTCTCACTGCATACCTTCTTATTCGAGAAAAAAAAAAATCAATATTCCTGACTTCATTACGCGTACTCTGAAATTACCTGTCCATCATTACTCCATTTGAATATCTTTGTTGTCAGGATGCTCAATCACTCATATCATCATATTATGAAGTAATGCCCTGGCAATTACTGTGACATGCACTGTAGTCCACGTGCGTTGAGTGACAGCAGTTATGAACGATGTTTGATCCCATTATCTTGAGAGCTAGCAGTCTCTCACTCCTTGGCAACCAATTCAAAGTTTCTGCATCCAAGGATGAATATATGGCCCTGAATGAACAAATGCAAATATACACAGAAATAAAACCGTGGTCAAACCATGTGATATGACCTTTAAGTTATAATAGCTTATGAATATAAGTATGCATATAAAATTTTGATTACTGTCATTTCCGGACTATTGAGCGCACCTGAATATAAGCCACACCCCACTAAATTTAAAAAGAAAAACAATATTTGTACATATATAGGCCGGATGGAAAAAGAAAAAGAAATAACCAGGTTTAAAGATGCGGAAAAATCTACAAAACAGCAAAGGCTTTGGGATTCACCAGGTTACAAAGAAGTCCTGGAGGGAGTTAATGTAGCACAGCACACCGCCTCTGATGTAAGGCAGGAGAAGCCAGTCTAGGAAGCACAGAGTCTCTGTGGGGTACAAACTGTCCATTCACATCTCTTCCTGGGAAAGGTTCAGATGAAGTTCAGGGGTCGGTAAAATAACGGGGCGGTTTAATCAGGCTGTTGATCAGCAGTGAAAGGAGGATGTAGACCAGTACACCCATCATCTTGAGTATCGATCAAGATATACCACCTACACTACATACCATGAGGAACAACAGGAGTTGCGTGCCATCTTCACATGGGCTGATGACCACCGCTTCGAAGGGGCATTAAAACGTTTGGAAATTTGCCTCCCTTTGCCTTCACATAATTGAGGCCTGGGGCAGAAGCAAAAGGGCAATCTGGTGCGGAATTAGATCTGCAGTTGCAGAACACCTGCAGTGGCCACAAGATGGAGCTGGGTCACTGCGACATCCTGTTTGAGGCATCAAGTCCCACCAAGGACTTTGGACAATAGGGAACCACTACTGATGGAATTCTGGGAGATTGTTTGGAAAGCAGGATCTACCACAACCCTAGGCACGGTAATATTCAAACAAATCTGACCTCTGCGCTCAGGGACCACCGCGTCCAGTCGCTGGTGGACTAAGGACAGGTTAGCTAGACATCGGTGTCTGCTATCAGGCTAGCTCGAACTTGTGCCTGTCACACAAGTTCGAGCTAGATACTGTATCTAGCTCGAACTCTGAAGCTAACGCTAACAAGGTTGTCCGAGTGTCAGGAAAAGCAATATTGTGAGTGTGAGCCCAAGCACGAAGAAGGGCCACTGACGTCACTCTCCTGCGCCGACTCAGATCGTGAAGTTAGATTCAATTTTGTTACCTTTTTCGCGGGGCGGACATAAATGGGGTAAGCATTTCTGCTAGTGCATTTTAATTTGAATTATGGTAGCGATTGTCTTTGAAGTTTTTCATTCATTCTGTTTGGTATGGTTGTTTGATGATTTCCTGTTTTTCCATTGCTTCATTTGGGTCCTGCCTGTTTCCTAGTATAAACCTCTAAAGTTAATAACGCGCGGTCTTAGAATATAAATGCAATTGTCAAAAGCAAAGTTCAAATTCAGTTCAAAATACAAGTGATCACAATAGTTAGAATTGGTATAATGGAACAGTCACATAAAAACTAATTTCACAAGAAAAAACAATTACTAATAATTTAAGGTTTTAACCTCGTGAATAATCATTTTGATCTTCAGTCTAAAGCTGGGGTGTCAAACATACGTCCCACGGGCCAAAACTGTCCCACTTGGGGTTTAAATATGGCCCGATTGATGAGTTTTGAAAATGAAAAAATACACAAAATGTTTTGTAAAATTATATTTTAATAAATATGAAGATTTATCTAGTGTACTTCTTTGCATGAAAACAAAGGGGGAAAAATTGGGACTTATTGTTATTTATAGGTACGTAATTTTGTTATGATTGTACTGGTCCGCTTGACATATTTTAGGTTGTGTGTGGCCGCTGAACCAAAATGAGTTTGACATCCCGGTCTAAAGGCATACTTTTTGTTTTGTGAAATGTGGTTACAACAGTCAACAGGGTGACACAATACTTAAAGTCTGAAAACACATTTGTGCCACAACAGACAGCAGGAAGAACTAAGCCGAAACCAATGATCCGTGCAGTGATTCCACTTGTTCCCGCTCAAGTCTGTACCAACAGTTGTCTGTTATTTTCACTCTCCTACAGCAGGATTACCCTTTTTACCTCATGGCCCACTGACAAAATCAGTGCATTAAAATGTGTTTATTTCACCTACTACAGTTCCCCAATCCTCTGTTTGGATATGTACTTACCAGATAAGACTGCAGCAACTGCAGTTGATTTACCAACATTGATTTTTCCCAGTGGACTTGTTTGCATTCAGAGACAAACATAATATTTGGATGCCATGGACTGACCCACATGATTTATTTTCTCTAAATTTCAGCTGGGCTTTTGTTTATTGTCGGAAATAAAGTTACACATTCAATAGTTATTGGATAGTAACGTTTCCCTCATGTTGTGCGTAACTGGAAGACGGTATAAATGTACCTACTTCATAATGTCTTAATAAACGTTTCCGCAATTGATTATTGTTTACTGAAGTTACAAACATTGCACATTGCGGGCCACACAAAATGACTTGGCGGGCCACATTCGGCCCACGGGCCTTGGGTTTGACGCGTGCTCTAAATCATTCTTCTGGGGTTGTCTTTTATTCTCACAACCTCGAGATCAATATTTACTTCATGACCATGTTTGTACACGGTAAAATATTGGATGTCAATCCAAAAGTGCTATGTGCGTATTTTTTTACTTACTTGTTGCGGCAGTAGAGGACCATCGTGAGTGTTCCTAGGAGGCTGATCGTCATGGCAATGAAGGTGATTGACAGCACCTGTCTCTTGTTCACCTCTTTGCTCTCTACGGGGAAACAAAACAGAGTGAAGAAACCATATTAATATTTGAAGAACACACTCTGGGGGAAAAAAAAAGTCATAGATCATGCATGTTTGTGTCAAGGTTTCCAAAGTAAGAGATGCACAGGAGTTTTTTTTGTGTCTGTGTGAGTGCGCGTAAGGATCCTGCAGTCAATACTGATTTGAAAACAGATTTTAGTGCTGTATTACTCCTGCCCTTCAGTCTCACTACAGAACCTAATAAAACAAAGTTCAGAGAATTAGGTTTGTACAACTGCTCGGAACCCCCTTCCCATGTGCTCAGCCGAAATCCTTAATTATCACCACATGAAATGTAATAACAAGACAATATCTGTTTGTAAAACATGGACAACATTAAAAAAAAATATATAATTCTACGGCAGGAACCAGCTATTCTTAGTCACCGCACAGCTCAGTTTATCAGCGCCACCACATCGCGTCACGGTCTGATAGACACAGACTGCGTTCGAAATGGATGCCGCATGTAATGGAGCTTGAATATATGGAGACGAGAAGAGTTATGGCGTGGACGGACGTCATTAGTGGAGAAAAATGGAATCTGTCTTGTTCCCTACAAGTAAATCATAGTCGCCTTCACGTGCATTAATAGGCGATCGATCACGTTTTATTTAGTGGGACACGGATGTAGACCTTGAGAGGGAATAACAATGACAAAAGGTGCTAGGTACCTATACTAAGTTAAATGAAAGCCTATTTGTCAAATTATTTATATAAATATATTTATGTATGTATTTTTTTTAAAATTCCAAGGCTGCAGTACAAAAAGAGGTGGCTCACAACTCCTGATGAGAACGTCAGCGGTCAGGGATGAGTGTTTTCAGTCTCGTAGCATGATGACAAAAAAAAAAAAAACGACGTGAAGCTTAAAGGCTCTGTGAAGCATCTGTGATTGATATGTTACTAATTTATGAGGACATCAGGCATGCGTGTCAAACCAATTGATTTGATTATACTCTAGGATTAGAGGCGACTCGTCTTCAGGAAAACCTCAGATAGTCCAGTTGCCCCAGTGAATGTTTGAGGATAAAAAAACCCTTAATACTGACATATCATTATTTATCCCAATGATGGACAATCAGATCTATAGTACGTTATAGGCCTCCTGTGCATTTCACATTTCCATTTATGCATTTAGCGACTCACAAGAGCAGGATTAACAATCAACAGTCAAGGAGACCAGTAGTTAGGAACACAGGGCTTCCAGAGTGCAGAGGTGGAGACAAGTGCTGACGTGTTCTTTTTTAATGCCATTAACGTTATGACTCACTGTCACTTTAAATTAGATAAAGACAGGGGAAGACAGAAGGCAGGAAAGACACGTATGGAGAAATGTGACAAAGATAGAGTTAGGGAATTTGTAGGGACTCAAGACTGAGTATTTACTGTTCTGATCACAAATCATATAGTTATTTAGTGAGGTGAGAAACTTTTTTTTTTTTAGTGGAGAAGATTAATTCAAAAATACATTATGACGAAACTATACGGACCAGACCAAGATTCCCTGAATTGTATTTTAGTTTAATGGACCTCATTGTGTTTTCCCATAATACAACTGGATTTCCTTTTTATACCAGTCCTGTGTGTTAAGTCTTGAACATTTTCAAACGTCTTTCAACCCCAGTCTACACGCAGGTAATTAACTCCATTCAGACTCAAATGACCATGTACGTGGTACTGTAATTATTTTAAATATAACTAGTTTAATAAAAATAAAATGTGGTACTCGTTTGGAGTACACTGGTACAGAAGTAACTGTTTTACTGTAGGTCCGAAGAATGTCCTAGAGCAGGGGTGTCAAACTCATTTTGGTCCACAGGTCACGTACAACCTCATCAGATGTCAAGTGGACCGGACCAGAGCGATCATAACAAACAATAAGTCCAAGTTTGTCCCATTTGTTTTCATGCAAAGAAGTAAAAGTATTAATAATAATAACAATAATAAAAATAATATAATAATAATAATAATAACAATTATTATTATTTTATTATTATTTTAATTTTTTATTCATATTTAATAAAATATGATTTTTTTTAAATATCCAGAACTTGAAGTGTTTCTGTTTTTTTTTTCTTCCAAATTTATCATTAGGCTGTATTGAACCCAGCAGCGGACCGGATTTGGCCCATGGGCCGTATGTTTGACACCCCTGTCTTAGACCACTTCATAATAAAGTGGCTCGAGTTTGAATGAGTTTAGGTCAGCTCCTTGTTTGCTTATACTACCTTCTAGGTCTGCAACTGAAACAAGGTCTTCTTTTGTATCAATATAATTTTGTCAATGTTTTGCATTTATTTTATTTTTTTTGCATTGTGTTTTTGCAACTGTGCTGCAATGCTGTATTTCTTACAACACGTGACTCTTATTTTACACTTAAAGCACGGCCGGCAGTAGAGTTGCCTTTTATTAAATATTGTGCCATACAGATTAGTAATGTTATTGCAGTTGCCTTGGTCGTTATTCCTATACTGAAGTTTAATCAATAAGTGATGGACTAAAAGCTAAAATACCAGGGAAGCAGGATCATATACAGTAAAATGCAATAAAGCCTTCAAGGTTCTGCTTGTGTTATATATATCACATAGCCCCGGAGATTGCATTTCAGAACTAATACATTAGGAGAACTAGAATTTTCTCCAACGCCTCCTGTGACACTGCAAAGGAAGTAGACGATGAATCGATGGATCAAATCGTAATTACTAATGATTAATATGGTTACAATTTTGAATGGAATGACAACCCCTTATTCATATATATATGTGTGCAAGTGTGCGTAAAATACAATACTAATTAAAAAATACAGAGTTAGGTTAGCTCAGAGGTTCCCAAAATGGGGGGCGTGCCCCCTAGAGGAGCCAAAGTGCCATTGCAGTGGGGTGCAGATGGAATGAATAAATGAAACGTAACGCAGCATATTGTCCAACGCTGTAATGCTGAAAACGGATTGGTTGTAAAACTAATATCTGATAATAATATTGCAAAAACAACCATTATTTTTTAATTCCTGCTCTCATTTTTGCCGTCGCCCATGTTAACTGCTCGGACCAGCAGTAGCAGCCCTGCGTAGTGCGCCCCCGTCACTGCCCGCCCACTCTGGCCAAGTGACCAAAGTTGGCAAAATGGATGAGTTTAAGGTGCGTAAAAACAGTTAATATTTAAAATGTGTGAAATCAACAATCAATCAAAAGCCCACGAAATATGGGTCCTGTTTTTTTTTTGGGTGGGGGGCCTAGAAAGTTCCTTATGAACCAAAGGGGGGCCCGGCAGAGAAAAGTTTGGGAACCCCTGGGTTAGTCTAATAGTTTGGAGTTTGCTGTGGACTTTTAATTTCTACATAGCTGACTGTGGTGCCTGATGTGAGTGTACAAGTCAGTGAAAAACCATTATATCCCAAACCCATTTCCTGTTTCATCTGCTGTGTTTAACTTTCTATACATCAACTCATTCATATTTTTTGACATATAGAATTAATATTAAGGCGATTTAGACTAAATGCGTTTAGACATATGGATGTGTCAGGCTGCTGGCAGACAGTGTTGAGGTCTGTTGCAGAAAAAAAATGTAATTTGTGTTGCATTTATTAAATTATAGATAAATCACTGGCCTTTAACTTGAAGCCAATATCTCGTAATATAAACTGGCAGGACTTTGGGTTTGACCCGAGATGTTCATGCCAGAGCAATTCTAACAGTCAACACTCAAAAAACCACCAGTAGATTTAGGTTTTAAACATTCCATTCAATAAAATAACAACCTAACAACCAAAAACAAAGCCACAAGGAATTATATTTATATTGTATAAAACCATCAGTACATATTATGTTTACAGGAGGTAATGGGTTAAATGAACTTGGCAATTTTGCTCAGTACTCAGTACTGTTTTTTTTTGTTTTTTTTTTCAAAGTCAAGCTACAGTCCATTTCCCAGCATCTTACATCATGATTGTTTAGAAACACAGATTTGTTTGAAGCTAACGTAACAGAAAAGAAGCTACAATCATTGCCAAAAAAGGTAAGGTAAAAAGGTAAAATAATGGCTTAAAAAAAAAGAAGAAAAAAAAGGTAAAATAATGGCTTGGTGGACAATGATTAGGGCTTGTGAGTTCAAGTTTGAATTTTCAGCTTCGGTTGAGAAATGGTTTTGTTGTGAGTGAATGTCAATGACTCGGCTTTCAAGAAGATACGGCTGCTTCTACTGCTTTTCTAAAGCACGAGGGAAAACTCATCAAAATGAAATGTGGATGCTCTAAGCCTAAATCAAAGTCCATTAAATCGCACAACACTGCGCTCACAATATAATATCCCACATACATCTGCTTCTGACATGGCCGACACTAGAGAGCATGCACAAGGGGATCGAGCAGAAAAACAAGTTCCTTCATCAAAAACTGCACTGATCAATTAATAAGTGACAGCCGATGTGGAACACTTGTAGCTATTTATATATAAAAACTATTTTTTTTTAAATTACAAAATAAGCCCTTAATGCTTTCTTAGGCCTCCCAACAATTACGGAAAAAAGCACTAACCACGCACAGGAGGAGCTCAGCAATTTCATTGATAGCCTGGCCTGTGGTAAAGCCCCCAGGTGCTGACAGATCACGCCTGATGTTATCAAGCTTGGGAAACCCTTCTTACAATCTGTATTTCTGTAATCCCCTCTGTCTCTGTCAGAATCAAGGCTCTGTCCCCCCCCACTGTACACATGAAGCCAAGATTATCACATTATATAATCTCAGGGGAGACCTCAGTGAAAAGTGACATGTCTTTGCTCAGTGTCATGGGGAAGCTCTCGGTGTGTTGCCCTCCCAAGGAATCTAGCTCCTTACAGAGTGTGTCTGCTCTCACTTGCTATGCGTCTTCACCCTTCACCCTTCAGCTGCAGGAGAGATGATGGTGGCAAAGGAGAACGGTGTATCTCCACCTTTTCAACCTCAGGAATACCATTACACAGACCTATCCA